CCCTCCCCCCCCACCTCCTCCAAGACAAAAATAACCGTGACAGAGTAGCAGAGCGGCAGAGTATGTTGAGCACCTTGCCCAGATAAAAATGCACAAGGCGAGGAGGAAAGAGGAGACTGAAAGAGAGCGAATGGAACGGCTGAACCGGGAGTACAATGATATTGACTGGGTTGGACTGTACAACTCCGATAAGCTGTCGTCCTTGAGGGTGGACGAGCTATCCTTATACGTTTCCCATCACAGTATCACCTTCAAAGGGAAGAAAGCTGAAAAGGTCGCAATGATCAAAGCGCACACTGGCAGCCTGCTGTACGATTCAATGGAGTCTCAACAACCTCGGCAGGCCCCGCTAAGAAATGTGCAGCAACAAGTGACCTCATCACTTTCCGAGGTTGAAACTGACTCGCAAAGTGATGTAGTAGATCGAGTTGTCGGTTCAAGCCCGAGTAGCTTAAGAAACGAATCGTCACCGGAGACCGATTTTATACCAGAACCCCGCGCGGAAACATTACCGCCGTCAAAATATGGACGAAAGCGGGCACGGGTCGAGAGAGACAATTATGTTAGTTGGAACAAGATAGTTTTTTGATATAATATTTCGACACCTGTAAATAATTTAGATTAATCTTGACTGGTAGTTTTGCTTGTATATACAAGTTTTAGGTTTCTATACACTTTGCGTGTTTGTTAAGAAATAAGAGTCAACTAAGCGGTATGGAGTAATTTTTCTCCTTCCCAAAAAAAAAAAAACTCTGACCCTTCCCGGTTGCGAATAAAACAAGTTTGACCATCCCCAATTTGTAAAAGAATTTACTAATGACCCTCCCCTCCGAAGCCCCGGCCCACCCCCCTCCCCCAAATAAAAAAAACGTACCTTCCCTAAATTAATTTAAGAGATTATGAAGGGTATTTTGAAAGAAAGTTTATTCCCCATATACGCCTTATTCCCAATGGAAACTCTATTAAGTTATTTTTAGATCACTCCCAGGTTTGGCAATATTAGGCTGCGTTATCACTTGGTGCCCGAGTACTGGTGTCTGGGCGGGCACCGGCAAAAAATAGTGTTTGGTTCACATGCAAACGGTGTACTTCGTCAAAAGACATTACTGCCCCGAATTGTGCTCGGGCACCCTAACTCGGGCACGAAGTGCAAACATACTAGAAATAACCAGTCAGTATCAGAAGGTTAAGAGTCAAGTGGTTCAAGTGGTACACCTCACACGCCTCGTAAAATAAGGCCTAGTACCCGGCACCTTGTTAACCCGTACGAAACGAACACCTCCCCTTTAATGGCTCTAAATATTTACTAATAAATAATATCGAGTGAACTAAAACCAACCGTTAAATTTTCATTATTTTGCTCTTACTTTTTTATCGCTCTTTTTTATGAGACACCATCAAAGTTAAAATGAAGAAAATGTCGTGTGAGGTTAAGAAATTGAATGCGTGATATGTATGTAATTTCTCTAGCTCCCTAACATAGCAACAAATCAGACAAATGGATTGTGAGAATTAGGTAAGTGATGGACAAAGAGTAAAGTCTTTTCGTCTGTTTCAGAGGTAATAGTTTCAGATCTATAATACTCTTTTTCTTTGGCCATCAGAACTTAACAAGAAATAACGCGCATGCAAACTGCGGATATAAACATGACAATAAAACGTATTGTTGGAAAACAAAAATACCGTATATCTGCTTACTTGACGTTTCCTATGTTTCAAGTCTTTGTTTCAGCTCGTTCGTCCCAACTGTTACACAAGAAGAGGGTTACCTTGCGATGTCTTAATGATTTCATGCTCTTGCAAATTGACCTTCAAGAAATCCCCAAGATCAAACCATCTTCACTTCATCTACGACACCTCTCCTGCAAGCCACATCACGTGACAAACACAACTGCTCTCTTCAAAGTACCTCTTGAAGGGTGCGGGACAACCCGAGGGACTAATGACCGATATATCAAGTTTACAAACGCGGTAGAAAATTCGTTGTCGCTGAATGAATCGCGTTGGGTGATCGTCAGACATGTGCCCGAGTTCCACTTTCCATTTATGTGCTATTACCGTCCGAAATACATCATAACTGTTCAGGAGGGAGAGGGGCATGGGACGGGAAATGACAGTGGAGAGCAAGAAAAGCTTAAAGGTGAGAAATAGGGAGCTTAAGAAAACTGACACAGCGGGAACGTTACTAAACAAAAGATGCTTTTAAAATAAGCAGCCATAGGCGTTGATTTGCACTGCATCACAAATCGAAAATTTAGTTCTCAGCCAATCACGATGGAATATTTTTTCCACAGTACTATGGAACAATGCTGATGCAGTACACAGTACACAGTACACAGTACACAGTACACAGTACACAGTACACAGTACACAGTACACAGTACACAGTAGGAAGTAAACAGTAAACAGTAAACAGTACACAGTAAAGAGTAAATAGTACACAGTACACAGTACAATGCAACAATAGTAACAATGGTTATTAGTCCAATAGTTACTACTACACGTTCTATTGGGATCTAACGCTTTCCGGGTTGATAATTTAATTGAGTCTTTTGTTGGTTGCTTGGATTGAATGGATTGATCAATATATACCTACAGTTGGAGAGGTGTTCCATTCAAGCTAAACATGCTAAATGATCTTTTCCAGTATGTTTGATATCAGAAGAAAAGATATAGAAAACGAAAACATCCTATGCAATAAACAACACCAACCCCACCTAATGTAGAATATGCAATGCCAGCAGAACACGGCAGGGCTTTTGTCTTACTTTGAGCGCATGCGTGCAAGTCCAGACAAAAACTAGCTCGTACGTTTCCACAGGTCATGCAAACCACTCAAGCTCAGTGCCAAACGAGACCTCTTCTGCTGGAAAACTGATGTTATGTTTCCATAGTACAGTGCCAGTTGTACTCTCGTTATTGATTGCGGCATGCAGCTGACGAGCCATGACTAAGGGCCATGCAAAGACAGGGCCCCAGCTGATACCACTGAAAAGGACTACCCTGGTTAAATAAATTAGTTGGGTCATTTCGGCAAGGTCGCTAAAATTCTAGACGTTTTGCCAGCTTTAGATCACTGGCACCGGTTTACACACCAAAGAATTCGCATTATTTCGGTCACGTACAAAATTACACTCAAATTGAAAGAAAACTTGAAAATAGTAGTTTACTAAGAATGAAATAATAGTAATAATAATAAACCATAAGCGAACAAGGATAGCTAAGGATGGAGAAGATTGACATGGATTACAAATGACGGACTAAACGTTTCAAAATGCGCAAACTGTGACGTAATTCCTATAAAAGAGTAGATATCATTATTCACAGGATAAATCGCTAGCTAAAAGCTAGCTAAGAAAACAAAACAAAAAAGACGAAAAACTGCGTAGTTTAGGGTAAAAGTGAAAGGATAAATTTTTGACTATCGCACTAAGAAACGATTTTTTTTTTTTCAGTTAAACACAATCTGTATTTATTTACCTTACCTTTTTTCGCTAAAGGAAGTTATGTAATTTCCTTTGTAAATTATATGTATGAGCTAAATGGCAGGTTCTGCTTGTTTATTGCGGAATTTTTGTGGTAGTTTGTATTTGTACCTGATGATAACTCATGTAGATAAGGGAATAACATGACTCTTTGAGGGAATATTGTTTATTTGCACTCGTGTCGAGTGTCATGATCATTTGCGGCCCGCGCGCGAAACACAAGGGCTGCAGCCCTTGCGCTTCGCGCGCGGGCCGCAAATAAAGGTACAAGACGGAAGAGTAGCAATCATACGTCCTAAATTGTTGATTTGTTGTTGAAAGGAAACTTGAAAATAGTAGTTTAGTAAGAACAGGAGCCATAATCGGGGATGGAGACCGTAAGCGCGCGCCATTTCTAGTATTGGGGTTGTCCCCATGATATGGGACAAAAATTCTATTTTTAGAAC